TGTGTGTGCGCGCGCGCGCGCGCGCGCGTCATACTGTGGCGTCCATAAGAAACTTGAAATAATTGTGTTCACCCAATCATCGTTTTGAAATTAAAACCTTACGCTACAAACATCATGCAGCAAGCAACAACAAAAGATTCTTCATTCATTCGATGTCCAATACATCCACTCCACAAATGTTAATACACTCCAATGTAAACGCAAACACACATTTACTTTTTTTTTATTTCACAGAATTTTGCCAAGCTTGATTTTTTAAAGGTCAGTTCTGAGTGACCATAACTCGGACGACTCTTTAACTTATCGTGATATTTTTTTTTAATTAATGGGCCAGATGATGCAGAATTTATTTACAATGTAGCTTTAAATTAATTGGTACGCTGACTCAGACTGGGTAGGTGGATAGTGCAAGGCTTTAACTTCAACATGATGATTGGGTGATTACATTTTCAAGTTTCTTTTGGATGCCACTGTATGTATGTATGTATGTATGTATGTATGTATGTATGTATGTATGTATGTATGTATGTATGTATGCATGCATGCATGTATGTATGTATGTAAGTTATTTCTGCTGTTGTTACGGCTGTACACACACACACACACACACACACACACACACACACACACACACACACACACACACACACACACACACACACACTTCTTCTGTCTTTTGCCTCCCACTGGGATGCCTCTATAATGTACGCCCAAACATTTCTCTCTTTCATCACTTGTCCAGACAATTAACTTCCTGTCAGCCTCTCGTAGAGATAAAATTGATATTCTTGCTAGACTACTTCAATTTCTTTATAATTAGCCCCTTGGCCTGGCACCCACTTAGTCACTTCCGTCTAGCCTGTAACCACACAATCCTCTTCGTTAGGCCCGTTTCCCTGCTAGTATACAGCGCTCATTTAGTTTTTCTCTCAGTTGCTCTTGAGGAAGCCCACGAGGCAAAACGTTGAGCTGTGCCTATTAAACCAATTTTAAACATTTTATATTGTTATGTTATTTTGTCTGAAATTCAAACAAGACTCCCCCTCCTACTCTTCTTTCGAAACATTGATGACGATGATGATGATGATGATGATGATGATGATATTTCCGATATTGTCCAAACCACACCAATACGTAACTTATAGTGAACACTTTGTTGCTGTGGCGTCATCACCCATTTATTTTTTTCTCAAATACTATGTTCCTGATGAAGCCTTATTGGCGAAACGTTGAACTGTGAAATATATATTTATTTTGGAAATACAACAAGGTCTTAACTGTTTTAATACCTTCTTTATACAATGATGATGATGATGATGATGATGATGATGATGATGATGATGACGATCAGAAGTTTTGATAAAATAGCGACATTTCTGACAAAAAGCTAAAGAGGTCAATTTGCCCCATCCAGGGATCAAGCCGGTCAGTGGGGTGCGGTGAATTAATGGAAGCATGTCAACGTTCCTCCAGTCAAGTTACATGCTATGTCATGTTAAAGTGATCCGTGGCAAAGCAGTGGTCAGACTGACCAGTGGTCAAGCAATATATAGTCAATCTGACACGTGGTCAAGCAATATATAGTCAATCTGACACGTGATCAAGCTATGTAGAGTCAATCTGACACGTGGTCAAGCAATATATAGTCAACCTGACACGTGGTCAAGCTATGTAGAGTCAAACTGACACGTGGTCAAGCTATATATAGTCAATCT